TATTCATTAATTAGGAAGAATCTTGCTATCTAAAATTAAAATTAAAATTAAAAAGAAAAAGAAGAACCTTAAAAAAATGACATTGGTTCCTTTCTTTAACTTTATTTGATTTTACACTAAAAAAAACTTTATTTGGAAAAGCCCAACTCTTTTTAAAATTAATCGAATTACACTTTATGTTTGATTTGGATCTCAATTTCTTTTAGCATGAAATAATCTCAAAAGTCAAGAGTTTTTTGGGGTAAGTTTTGGTTCTTAATGGAGTGAGACAGACATATGAGAAGGAAAATGTTAATCACATTAGCATTAAAACAAGATATGAAGCAAATGTTTTGGTTCTTTTTACTTTTGGGCAGGTTGGAATTGGATTCCTTTTATGGGGGAGGGGGAGGAGAAATCAAACCCACCAATTTGGGTGAAGAGATGAACACTGTAGAGCTCAGAATCACAGGACCACATCATGCTCCTCATTTGTTTCAAGGAAGAATACTAGGAAAGTATGGTAGATCATATGGTTTACTATTTTATGTGCCATCTGGTTATGGCGGAATCAAATAATATTCAAATTAAAAGGAAATAGAGCCGCAAAGCAAGGTGATGGAATTGATAAAGTTTGGACCATTCAGCTGGGCAAGGTAAAGTTGGTATTAGAACTCTCTAAGGAATGCTGGTATAACTCCCTAGTAAGGCATACATTTGATTGGGTACATCTAGGATGATTAGGAATACTTGGTAACAGTACATGTTCTAAGAGTTAAGCCTTTAGATACTCTGGCATTATTAATTTTGTAAATAGGTTGAAATATTTTTTATACTCCATTTTGTTGTAAGAGGTATTTGACATAAAAGTTTAAAATTAATAGTTAATGGTTTTATCTAATTCAATGAATAAGAGTGTTTAAATATTAATAATAATTGTTATCAATATTCAAATTAGATAAAATTGCTAATTACTTATTTCAAATTATTATACCCAATAGCAAATTATAATTATATAACACAAATCTTAATTTTTAAGTATGAAATTTATTACCAATAAGAAGGTGACTTTTCATTTAAAAATTTACGAGTTTGAATTAAATACATGTGAATATGTGATTTATTATGTCGCCATCTAAAGATTCAATTTTAGTCAATTTTTTTTGTCACAAAAAATTGATGGGTTGATAAAGAAAACAAATTTTCTTCAAATAAAAATGAAAGGCAAACTAAAGTCAAAATATACATTCTCTTTGAATTGGGATATTTTAACTTTTTCAGGGTTGTAGAAATTTCCTCTGCATTTATTTCCTTACCAAGGAGATTCGGCCCTCAGATTATATTTCCATCAATGTTACCCCTTACCATATTTGCTTTAGGGCACTTATTATTTTCACACCCCTTGCTTGCCATAAATACTTCATATCCTGTAATCACCGTCAATTTTATAAATATATTAATTAGGATATATTTTCTCAATGAAAATAAAAAAAATATTGTTTTAGAGAATTTCTAGATCAATTTACATATATTTTGAGATTAATATTTATTTGGATTAGTTAAATATATATATTTTGGATACAAGATGGTTAATTATTTGTTATTATAGAAGTTTAAATATTTAATTTTAATCATAAATTAAAAATTTTAAATTAATAAATACCAAAGTAGATCAAACTTTTGTTGATAGATTATTTAAAATTGATAATTCATATTAAAACTAAAAAATTTATGAAAAACTACTTCTTCCTATCTCTCTTTTTTTCATTTATTTATAAAAAATTAGTTATTTAACATTATAAAAATTTAAATATCTTAAATTAGTAAATAGCAATTTCATTAAGTTCTTTTCTAACATATCGCCGAGGAAGTGCTAAGTGATTCTGGGCTTAAACTAGGCCTGGCCCAAGAAACCGAAAGCGGAAGAAGCAAGAAAGTAAACGAAAAAGCAAAACAAAGCACCAAACCCACGCGCAGATCAAACGCGCGTGGGATTCGCAGATCCCCTCCACCTCCTATCCCACTATTCTCCCCCGCCCTCCACAAAACTCCAAACATTGATTCCCGTGTCCAACCTCCCCTAATCTCCACCGTCCATTTTCCCATCATTTCCATCCGACGGACCAAACCGACTCCACACTTGCGCTGGACACACACAATAAAATCTTCCCCTCCCCGAGCCCAACATCGAACCTCAGCTTAAGTCCGAACCTAAACGCTCCGGAATTTTTCATTTTTCATTTTCCATTTTCCATTATTTCTTCTTCCCATTGAAATTATTTTTCTTTTTTTTTTTTCTTGCACTGCGATCCCTTTATCTTCGTCTCTGTGTCTGAAAAATCAATTCTAGAGAGAGAAAAAGAGTGAAAGGTGTTGGAGAGAGAAAGCATTACGTGAAAGCCTTTTTCAGTTGTTTTGGCTGCTTAAAACAACTGTAATTAAGCTTCAAAACGACAGAGTTGATTGCAGTTTCCCTGTGGCACGCCGTTGTTTGGTAGCTCTCTCTCCGAGAACCCTAGAAGCTGCTTCAGGTTCAGATCACGAACTGAGCTCTGCTTGCACTTTGCTGAGCTTTGATTCTTCTGGTACTTTCCGGTTTCAGCTTCTTGTTGGGTTAATTCAGCTCGAAATTACTCAACTTTGGAGTAATTGCGGCTGTGCAGTTGTAGTCGCATGTTTTTTGGTTCTTAATTATGGTGGAAAGGCCTTAAATTTGCTCCCTGGTTGTGGGGAATTAAGGTTTTCTTGTCGTTGTTTCGTTTCCTATTTGTTTCTTTTTGGATTTTTAAGTGAGGGGGTTCGAGTTTAGCTTGCTCTGGAAATTTTCTGTGTACCCTAAATTTGGTTTTGAGAATGCATCTTTGCTTTATTTTGTCAACTTTTTAGGGTTCAGGTTTGAGTGAATTGAGTTGGAATTCAACTTTTTTTTGCACTAGTTTCATTTCATTTTTGTGGGGTATTGTTTGAGTACTCCTGGAAAAATCAGAGTGTTAACAACTTTTGTATTGCTCCAGTTGGGTTTCTAAGAACTAGGTGTAAAGGGAAGTTTTAACTTTATTTTTCATCTCTCTCTTCTGGTATTTTTTGGTATTTTTTTCAATACATTGTCTGCTGTTTATTTTGAATATTTTTCCTAAAAGAAAATGTGTATCTTTAGAAAGAATGATGTTGAAGCTGCTCAAGCACTAGTACCATTTTCCACTATTATCCAGCATTATCATGGTCTTGAGGTTGTTCTTAATATTACTGTGCAGGGTGACTTTTTGGGATTGCAGCAAAAGATTCAGAGATAACTGTGTTACTCAATTCATATTGAGTGCAACTAGAATAAGGTGGTTTAAGCCGTAATGACCATATATATGGATACGCCTATATTCGGTGACAAGATATAGCTAAAAAGGACTGGCAGGAGGGGTATTTAATGCCTGGTAACGAAGTTGGAAACAGGATCTGCAATCAGTTTGAGCTAGAGAACTCTTTACAGGGCCAGAACCTACTCCAAGCTGTGGATGTAAGTTGGCCAGTTCTTAACTCCAACCAGTGGGTTAGACAGCAGGGAGAGGTTGGAGCACTCCTGAATTTCAATCTGAAAAGCTATAGCTTGCAACAACTAGGTATTGCTTTCTTTATGTCATTTCTGTTACTTGCCATAGTTGCTTGGTTCTTCTCTCTGTGAACAAAGAGAGGCAAATTGTATCCCTCTTCTGTCTGTGAAAATGAGAAAGGGATTTTTTTCCTCTTTAAAAACAAACATAATACGTGATAATTTGCAAGACCCAACTTATCTATTCAAATGACCTATAAATTTGTTTGATATTTGCAGATTCAGGGGGAGGAATTGGTGCCGAGTCCTTAAGCATACCACCAAAGGAAATCTCAAAGCAATTGACACCAATTCCTGAGTATTCCAGAGTTCCATTCAGTAAGCATCATCTGATAACAAATGGCTTGTCACCTGGATGCCAGGATTTTGGGACACAGCAGAATCAACAAGGGATTTCTGGTGAACATACGACTTATGTTCAGCATAATTTAACTTCTGGAGGCTTTTTTATCCTTAAATCACATCAAGAAAATGAATCTTGTGACAGTCCCACCCTGACAACAAATTCTGAAAGGTCAGAGATTACTGAAGCTTCTACAGATTTCAACTTTCTTAAAGGGCAAGACCAAATTTTTAGCAGGCAACAAGTAGATATTTCA